GCTCCCTTATTGGCACTGAATGCCAAAATCTACACCAGGTTTGCTAGCAGGATTCCCTCACCCTATGCAGTCTTATACAACTATTTTCGATAGTTATAACTAAGAAAGGTTTAGTGACACCCTCTCCCCCATTACTCAAGCCTGGGGGTAGTTTTTCGTTAGAGAAACTGGAAAAATTCCTGAAAACTGGGGAAAGTACAAGGTTAAGAAAATTCGAGAGGCTGGTAAAGTGTGGGGATAAGGTAAGGGGAAGCCCTGGACGAAGGATCTGGGAGGGGGGGTCGTTTCGCGCCGTCATTTCTCTCATCCGCATGCTGTGCTTTGCTCCTATAGCACTTACAATTAGATCCTCTTCTGACCTCAATAACCCCCGTGCCGAAATTAGTTCTTTACTGATGAGACCCCTCTTTTCTGTGAACTAACGCTCTGCCGAAGTCAGTAAAAATGGATTTTCAAAAGTTCGAATGCAGTATTTGACAATTTTTGCTGTTTTGATAAACGCAGAAGGTACAGTCGTCATCCGGGCACTTGATTAGGCGGACAAAAGTTGAACAAATACCTCAAAAAAAGCAAAAACACTCTATCGCAAAAACAAAAAAGAGACTCCACGTCCTAATGTACTTCATAAAGACAATAAAACAAATTACCTTGGGAAAAAATAGAAAATACAGTGAAAATTAGGGAGAAATGGCCAAATTAGGCCGGAAACAGCTAGTGGCCGCGGTGGTGACGCATTCTCGTCACTACCTTTGGCCGCCTAATCAGGTGCCCGGAGGACGACTGTATACTGGATCCGAAAGCCGTATTTTTCCAGAAACTTCATTACGGCAGTACCTTATCGTAGTAATGTGAACCATCGACAGCCAAACCAGCAGCGATCGTTCCGAAGATCAGCATGTCCTGGAATTGGTTGAAACATTCAATTTCATCACTAAAAGGATGAAATGTAAAAAAGCATCACGGATTGTGCGAAAATATGTAAAACTAAAGGGCATTGAGCACTTGGTAGAGAAAGACTAGAAGAGTGACCTTTATGGCGATGATGTGCTATGGCTCTAGCGGCACCTTTACTCATCACATGAACCACGTAGAGCGGGCAGTTCGCCTGTGATGCCATCACACATGCTCGATTTGTCGCCTCGGCTTCCAGCTGAAAAAAAAGAACGCTATAAAATATTATATGCAAGAAAGGAAGGCTCAATTTATTTTCAAAAGAATCGAAGTGATAGCAAGTTTTAATGACTGGACTCTTTGGACACTGATCGACAGTGAAAGGATTATTACGTGAGGAGGGATTTTTAATTTTTGTCAGCTAGACAAGTCATTCCGTTACTTGTTAACTTTTGCGAAGGCGCGGTATGAGCTTTATATTGACACGGTTTCTTCGTTCTTTGAAGGCACGGACAGCGATGAGGAATAGAAATTGAAAATATGGCATCGGGAGGGTAGTGTTCAGTGATGCCTCCTTTTTTCCAGTGACTCCGCCTCCAGACTCCGCCTTCAAGGCCCGCTTTCAGTGAAAAACGAAGCTGCAGGACGAAAAAGCATGAAAATCGTCACTTGTACGGTCGTAGAGTTCTTATCGGGGAATCAGCTGTGCGGATGAGGGCGTAGTGTTGAAGATGGAGTTAATTGGGCACGTACAAACTGGGATCAAAATGAAGCGCTATCTAGGGCAGTTGGCATGTTTTTTTTCTGTTTTTTTCTTCATTATCGAGTTACTTGGGACCTCTCGTCTATATTCAAGCCCCTAGTCCACTATCTATGGTGGTGAATGATCGCGGGCACTGCCTTACCCACTTCAAGAGTCTACAGGTCATCTAGGTCATAGAAATCTTAGGAACGAATGCGGTCAAGACAAGTAAGAGTGGCCAAAACCCTTTCAGGGTTCGGGAAATGTAAGCAGGACGCCAACTCTCAACAAAGGATTTTCTCATTTGTCAGTTTATCAGTTACAATCGCCCCACCCCCAAGATCAGTAACCTTTACGTTCTGAATGCTCTTCCTCGCAGTGTTTTTTTTACATGGATGTAATCATACGGTAGGGCAGTGAAGCAGTTTCCCACCAGTTGGGGAGGCTAGCGTACGAGTACAATTGGCGGAAAATTGACTGGGCGGGGCCAAACCCGGTCACCCCCCAACATCCGCTGCATATGAGACTCAAACTAATTATGGAAGAAAAAGGGCCGAGTATGTAACAGCGTGCGCGAGCTCTCGGCATATCTCCCTCACTTTTTGGCGACGGCTTTTCCCTTGATTGCGTTGAAACGGCAATATTTTAGGTGTGCTGTGATTACGCCTTGTCAATGGCCATAACAAGTTGGAACCCAGATATCGAACGACAAATGGAAGAGGTGGTGAAGCCGGAATACGGTATACTGAGAAATTTTCTCTGTTCTAGGTTAGGTTGTCCGAGAAGTTTTGAGAAAATTTCACACTTTCAATTTGAAGAAGTGTAGCTGGACAATGTTTACTATAAGTAATTGGATTCTGTTATCTCGTATTGTTGTTGATAAATGTTAAGTGAGCTGGTCGAAATTTCCTCAAAACTTTCCGGACCCCCTCGTGTGACATATGAAGAGGTGTATAACGTTTACTAACCTGTGTCTTTATAGGAATCAACTCCTTCAAATTCTTCTTGGCCTATTCGGGTCTATTTATGGTACGCGATGAAGAATTCTATTCAACGCGTTAAAGTTCTATTTTAGATATGAATCGGATTATTGATTTTTTAAATTTCGCCGTTTTTGTTACGCGCAGTTCTGTCTTTATCTGCTCATGTGGCGGACAAATTTCATTTTGTACACAGTTGTTAGTCACGTAAACTAAAAGGCGAGTGAGCAGGCACGGAATGAAGCGCAGTTAATCATAAGACGGCTTTCCTCACCAGCAGTTTCACTTTAAGCCAACAACAGTCGGCGGAAAAGCCAACAGTGGGTGCCAGTTCACCCCCTCCCCCTCGCACGCCCTCTCCTTTGCAGGGATAACGACTGCACATGCTTTCAAAGCTCGAACTACTAGATATAACAGATTAACATATAATCAATGAAAAAAGCTAGGGACTGACGGCAGCGACGCGGCCGCTTTTTTCTGAACCTGATCCTCACTCACTTGCCTTCGGAAATGAGAAATAAAAACGTTACCTTGAAGTAGCACATTACTCGCCTTGATTTCAGGAATGCTTACCTGCTCTCGACTAGGGGCTTTGGCTCGGGTTCATGCTGAGAACGGTGCCGTTATTGATGAGAAATGTAAAGCACTACTCAATCAGGGGTATCACTGGTCCGGAAGGTCA